CTTTATCTGAGAATAGTGTTTGACAATATCTTTCCATTACTATTTAGAGAAAATCAAACAGAGCAAAGGAAAAAAAGCAGAGAAGACTTGAAGAACGGGCAGCTATGGATGCAGTTTGTGCAAAGGTGGAGGCAGCCAATAAGGTATGCTTTGACAACATCTAAAAGAAACCTTTTCAAAATATGTGCACGTGTCTTCAAATTGCAGTGTTAATGTTCTTGCAGCAGTGAAATATTAACACAGTGTGTCCCGTGGCTTGTTACAGCTTGAAGATCCTCTGTCTGCAATGCCTGTGTTCAAAAAGTATGACAGAAATGGGTACGCTATCCCTACGTTTCCCCTTTGACGGATGTGTCATATGCTGCCTCTAAACTGGTAAACGGATCATTTCATTTTCTGATATCCAATACTAATATTGTGAATATCTGAATCTGTCACAGGCTAAACCTGGAGATTGAGTGTAAACGGGTAACTGCATTGAGTCCAGATACAGTGGAGTGGGCCTATGAGTTGACTAGAGCCAACATGCAGACGCTGTAGGTATTGAGCAAGTCAACATGTGGGGTAATCCAGCATCCCATATTGTTACTGCTTTAGATGTTTATGATGTTTTATTTGTCCATTTTTAGTGTCTGGCATTTATTTTGTTCCTGCAGAGATTCTTAATGGATACTTGTTAGGTTTTGTATTCTATTGACATTCAGATACAGGTTTTGGGTTGAATGGAAGTCAGTTATTGCTATTTACCATTAAAGGTATAGTTCACCCAAAAATGAAAATTGTCATTTACTTTTCAATTATAACTAATTTTAGAACACTGAACTTATTTACTCACCCTCATGCCATTCTAAGACTCTATGACTGTTGAATGAAAGTCAGTGTGCTTCTTTAACACAGATAATACAAGGGATACAGGCCTGGAATGACATGAGGGCAAGTAAATGATGACAGAGTTGTCATTGTGGGTCAACTGTCCCTTTAAAACTGGAGGACATTTCTGCTGCTGGTCATTTTGCCATTTATGAAATATAGTTCCAGGAGAAATGTCAATTTGGGCAGTTTATAAGAAAATACATTTTTGTTCCATTATGTTTTGGCAGATATGAACAGAGTGAGTGGGGATGGAAGGAGAGGGAGAAAAGGGATGAGATGAAGGACGAGAGAGCATGGTATCTCCTGGCCCGTGATGCTGGCTCCACACCTGTAGCATTTTCACACTTTCGATTTGATGTAGAGTGTGGAGATGAGGTTTTATATTGGTAATGTTGCTTTAAGTATTACTTATAGGACAGCTATGATTTTCTCTTTGGGGATTATCAAAAATCTGTTTACTTGTTCGGAATGCGCAATGTTTCAGTACCATATTGGTTACCAACTGATATTAGAATTTTTGTTTTAATTTATTGATATCGGACGTTTAATTGTTCATGTTCACTTTTTTTACACCTTTGCATCATCTAACACATTTAAAGCTAATCTAAAAAAAAACAATAATTTAATAACATTTTTAGACAATCTAAACATGAATGTCCTTTTTCATATTGTATGTTATAATGTTGCAATACCTAAATTGACGTATCATTTAAAATGATTGTTTTTAGTTTTTTTTTGTCTGATTTCAAATTTATTTAGTGTAGTACTGAATTGATCAGTTATTGTCCTTAAAGGGATAGTTCACCCAAAAATGAAAATTTTGTCATTTGTTACTTACCCTCGTGTCGTTCCAAACCTGTAAGACTTTCGATCATCTTCGGAAGACAAATTAAGATATTTTTGTTGAAATCTGAGAGCTTTCTGTCCCTCCATAGACAGCAACGCAACTGGAATGTTCCCAGGCCAAGAAACGCAGTAAGGACATTGGTAAAACAATCCATGCTCAACCGTAATTGCATCGTGGTACTCTTGAGAATGGCAGCAGACGGTAACTCAGGGGAGAAGAATTGTTGAATAAAGTTATTTTTATTCTCTTTGCGCACTAAATGTATTCTCGCAGCTTTGTAAAATTGCGGTTGAACCACTGATGTCACGTGGACTATTTCAATGATGTCTTGCATTTCTGGGCCTGGGAACATTTCAGTTGCGTTGCTGTCTATGGGAGGGTCAGAAAGCTCTCGGAGTTCATCAAAAATATCCTAATTTGTGTTCCGAAGATAAACGGAGGTCTTATAGGTTTGGAACGACACGAGGGTGAGTAATTAAAGACTATCCCTTTAACATGAAAATAATTGGCTTGTTAATATCTGCCATAATTGTAGTATTGTGCATGTCTATCTATCTGTCTACCTTCATTGCACATGTTGTATAAGTGGGAGTGCGTCTGTCTCGCATGTTATTTTTGCAATGTGTGACTTGACTGATTCTGAGTCATACAAGACACATGACCTCAAGAGAGTGCTGTTTGTATCTGACTGATTCTAATAATGTCTCCTCAGTTATGAAGCTCAGTTGGAGAGTAAAGTCAGGCGGAAAGGCCTGGGGAAATTTCTCATCCAAATCCTTCAGCTTATTGCCAACAGGTACCACAACAAACACAGCATTCCAAGAATTTATTCCTTGTGTTGCATTTTTGCCAAAACTCATCGCACTCCTCTTGTTCTTGTGTCTTTCCTCAGCACGCAAATGAAAAAGGTCATGCTGACCGTATTTAAACACAACCACGGTGCTTACCAGTTCTTTAGGGAGGCTTTACAGTAAGTCCCATCCTTCTGGACTCATACGCATTCACCACTTCCTCACTGCATGAAATTCCTGTTCCTCTTCTGAATGCAGATTTATATACCGGCCTGTATAATCGACAGAACGCTGAATGATAGCAGTTGCCATAGCAACAAGTGCCTGCTCTGCTTATTCAGTGTTAAAATATGAATTCACCAACGGCTGTCCTCTTCCTTTTTAGGTTTGAGATTGACGAAACGTCACCCAGTATGTCCGGTTGCTGTGGAGATGACTGCACCTATGAGATTCTGAGCCGGAGAACAAAGTACGGCGAGGCCTTGGGACATGCGCATGGGGGCGGCCACTGTGGAGGCTGCTGCCATTAAGAGCGAGCCTTCCTCTGTTGTTTCAGAGCTTCCTCATCCTCATTCCCTCCCCTGCTCCATCACCCACAATCCCCTCTTAGAAAGCCCTTAAGACAGTCTCTCCTGCCCATAATCAGCAATGAAACCCCATCGATGCTTGCTCTTGGCTTTTAACTTAAAAAGCTCATTCACCATTTCACATAGTAAGCGACGTTTTCAGTCTCAAAGGTTTGAATGACGACAAAATGGCAGTGAAGGCCACTGTGAGCCAAAGGTAACCTTTTTCACCTCAGGTATCAGCATGGTGAGGCTCAACCGTATGTCTTTGCATTCTGTCCAGATGCAAAAAGAGCCTGCGGTTTTTTTTCATTTTTTTTTCAACTGTTTTATTACCATAGTGAGAATGCAGGTGTTGGTCACAGTGGTTGTTACAGCCGTTTCACTCTATACCACTTTTCAGGGTAATTGTATTTTAACTAAAAGCTGATGTTTGCTTATTACTTCAAGAAAGAGAATACGACGATCTGTACTGTTTATAATTAGTAATCACTCAACCTAGACTGTCTCAGGTCATTCAACTTATAACAAAATGTTTTATAACAGCTGTATTTGGGAATTGGTGGATGATTATGTTGCTGTTTGATTTGATACAGGGGTTGGCATGTAAGCTATGGTGGACCCTTGGTGTAGAAATACACTTTCAATTTTTTTTTAATTTTTTTTTTTATCATAACATTCTTTTATCATGTCATTACTGTATATTTCCATTTTTCTTCTTTGTATATAATCCGTTTGCCATGTACATTTTATTTGCCTTCCAAGACATTGGAAAAATGATATACAAAACCGTTTGAGAGATGAATGTTCTGGGCTTGTGCTCTCTTGTTGAACTGAAATGAAAGGTCATTCCAGCTTTGTTATGTGTTTGATTTGTATGCAACAAATAAAGGAATCTTGTTTGACTTATTGACGTTCAGTGGTGTTTAAACATTTGTTCAAATGAATCTTGCATAACCCATTCTTAACTGTTTAACTTTTTTCCCAAACCATTGGTAGATCATAAGTAAAAAAAAAAAAGTGTGATGATAATCAAATCCCCACCCTTGGTCCTAATAAGAAAGGCTGCTTTGTTTGAGTCCTTTGAAGTTAACATTGAGGGACGGACAGAAGTAAAACATCAGTATTATGAGGACGCTTATTATTTTAAGCAGTGGTTAGTTGAGGGATATCAACTGCACTATTTATGATTACAGAGATTTTAGAAATATACACTCCCATTATAAAGTTAGGGGTCATTTGGAAAGTCTTATGCTCACCAAGGCTGCATTTTTTTAAATCATAAATACAGTAAAACAGGCATAATGTGAAATATTATTAATAATAAAAACAAATGATGGTTTTCTGTTTTAATATATTTAAAATGTTAATTATTTGTGTGATTGTAAAGCTGAATTTTCAGCAGCCATTAGGCTACTCCAGTTTTCAGTCACATGATTCTTCAGAAACATTTTAATATGCTGCTTTCACAAAACATTTCTTATAAGTTTGTTTGTTTATTTATTTAGTGCAGTTTTTTTTTGCAGTTTAATGCATCCTTGCCTAATAAAAGTATTAATTTCTTTGTTTTTAAATGAATTTGGCCTGTAGCATAGATAGACAGCAGCAACATTACTTGTATCCATGCTCTGCCAGAAATGCTCATGTGGAAATTAAATTAAATGAAATCAGCAAACTCAAAAAGATGTCTTTTAAACACTATAATGGCATTTCAAAATTAGTATATTCACTTTTATCATTTTTTCACAGGTTAGAAAATAAAAAGTTGAAGAACCTGCTGTTTCACTAGTGTTTTAAGCAGTTCTTGTAGTGACGGTTAAAGGGTTCAAATGTCCTCGTATGTGATACAAAAGTTAGTTGGCGGAACTATGGTTTATTGGATGGAGATCATTTACTGTGTTGCACAAAGCGGAAGTTGTTGGTAGTGCGCAGTGGATGAATGGAGTGGCTGTACATAGTGCACTAGTATGCACAGAGACGCATAACGCTATCTGTAATATACATAATGAAGCGACCGGAAAGGATTTATTCATCTCAGCTTTAAATTTATACACATCATTGAATGTAATATATTCAAATACATTAGTTAAACTCTGTTATCATAGGAAATTCATTTATAACGTTACTGCATTTAAACCTACTAAAATCAAGATACCTGATCTTATTGTCACTGGATGCACTTGGGAGTATTTGGGAATCTGCAAACCATCTCTTCTTTTTCTCGCTAAGCGATAGTCGTGGCTGTTATAATGCATTCACATGGGTTGTTGTCTCCATGATCACCGGTTTCCTCGTTGATTTCAGCATCAGCAGGTCATCATGAGAATGAGACTGAAGCTAAAGACTGTGTTTGTCCTGTACTTCATTGTGTCACTACTAGGACTCATCTATGCGCTGATGCAGCTGGGTAAGACTGGACTCACTGTCATCATTACCTTGTTCATTCAACCTCGAATCATTCATGTTTGAGCATGCCATTGATTCCTATGTGCAGGCCAGCGCTGTGACTGTAGAGATCATGCCATGTCTAAAGATCAGCAGATCTCTCAGCTGAGAGGAGAGCTGCAGAAGCTGCAGGAACACATCAAAACATCAGAGCTGTCTAAGAAGACTGATGTGCCCAGAATCTATGTGATAACACCCACATATGCAAGGTATGTAAGCAGCTTTTTTCAAAATTACAATAATGCAGGAATGTCTTTCATTCAGAATGTTTTGCAGAAGGAAATTTAAGTGCTTGCAAGGCAGCAACTGAACAGATTTAAGATTTACGTTCTTTTAAACATATGACGCATACTGTAGCATGGCTTTTAAAACATATCCATTTCATTATGAGACTGAGTTTAGAATGCAAAAATCTCTTCAGCCAAGAGGTGTGAAATTTAATTACAACCAAATATGATTTGCATTTATAAAACTTACTTTAATTCACATTCAAAATATTTTAGCTCTGCAACAAACTGGACAAGGACAAAGAAAATTATTAATAAAACAAAAAAAAAATCTGTGACTGCTTTACTGGAATGTTGTAATGCATGATATATGATATCAGGAACTACGTGATGATGTAATTATACCATGACATTAAAGAATCACTGAATCGTTTTGAACTGATTCTTAGCAACATACTGTTCAAAAGAAGTAAATTATGGAACCGAGTCAGATTTTCTCATTAATATCTCATCTCTCTTCAGTGTGCAGGTGTGTGTATATAAATGTAACAAAGCAAAGAGCAATCGCTATGCAAGTACTGATTACAGTTTTACAGTAATCAGTAATAAAAATAGTTTGAGGAATGTCATGAAATTGAATCCCGCTCTTTCTCCCTCTCCCTCCTCTCTCCAGACTGGTGCAGAAAGCTGAGCTCACTCGTTTGTCCCACACCTTCCTCCATGTTCCTCAGCTGCACTGGATCGTGGTGGAGGACGCTCCTCAGCCGACTTCGCTGGTCACAGACTTCCTGGCTGCATCTGGCTTGACCTACACCCATCTATACAAGCGGACCCCCAAAGACAGGAAGCTGCAGGAGGGAGATCCCAGCTGGCTGAAGCCCCGGGGGGCTGAGCAGAGGAATGAGGGTCTGCGCTGGCTCAGGGAGATGGGCGCTGCTGCTAAAGGAAAGGAAGCGGCTGCCCTCGAGGAGGCTGTGGTGTACTTTGCTGATGATGACAACACATACAGCCTGCAGCTTTTTGAAGAGGTGAGGGGTTTTAATGGTTAAATGAACACTACCGTTCAAAAGTATGGGGTTGATAGGATTTTTAAAATGTTTTTGAGACAAAGTTTCTTATGCTCATCAAGGCTGTATTTAGTTGATAAAAATACAACAGTAATATTGTGAAATATTGTATTATTTATTGTGAATTTGTCAGTATGTTTTCAAATTTAATTTATTCCTTTTTGATGGTGAAACTGAGTTTTCAGCAGCCATTAGTCCAGTCTTCAGTGTCACACAGTCCTTCAGAAATCATTCTAATATGCTGATCCCAACATCGAAAACAGTTGTGCTGCCTAATATTTTTGTGGGAAGGTTCAAAAGAACAGCATTTTTTTAAAATAGAAAACTTTTGTAACATTATGCATATCTTTACGCTCGCTTTTGATTTATATGTTGCATCCTTGCTGAGCAAATGTATTAATTTCTTTAAAAAAAAATCTTACTGACCCCAAACTTTTGAATGCGTGTGTGTTACGAGTAAAATGTTTTGACACACTTGAATGAATTTGTTTCTCAAAATATTTTGTTCAAAAGGCGTAAATGTTTTGCTTTATTGTCTAAAATTTGTTTTGTGGGAAAATGTTTGAATTTGTGAAAACTGAAAATTGTTTCTACAAATGTTTTTTTTTACAATATTAACATTTTTATTAAAACAAATTAATTCACTTAAATAATTCACTAAAATGGTTTTATCACTCCATAATTTCTGTACCTCGATGTATCTTATTTTTCATACATTGAATGTTATTTAAAGTTTTTTTTCTAATCAATTCTATTTTTTCTGATATGTAGAAAAGGGTATTAATAAAATGTTTATTACTAGATTTAAATGCTAAAGTTATACAGATGTAATTACATATTGTTTAGGAGGATTGCAGTGAAAACTGAGCATGAGATAATTTCAGGAGTCATTACATGGGAGTTTTCTGGTTAAACCTCCAGATGGAGCTGTGCTTCGGTTGTATTGAGGTGTCAGATGTTCTCTTTTGGAGATGTAATCAAACTCCTTCTCAAAGCCCTTCTCAAAATGTTGTCTGTACATAGTCTTTGCCTACGAACATATGGACAGAAGGTGTTTCTTTGTCATTGTCTATCACTTTTTTGCCATCCACATTCTTGTTCCTGTCACGCTCAGATGCGGTACACATACCGTGTCTCTGTGTGGCCTGTGGGTCTGGTGGGTGGGATGAAGTTTGAGCGGCCCGTGGTGGAGGATGGGAAGGTTGTGCGTTTCCACACTGGCTGGCGTCCCAACCGCCCGTTCCCCATCGACATGGCTGGTTTTGCTGTGTCCCTGAGGTTGATCCTGACCAATCCCCAAGCACGGTTTGATGGTGATGCTCAGATGGGCTTCCTGGAAAGCAGCTTCCTTCAGCACCTGGTTACTATGGATGACCTTGAGCCCAAAGCAGACCTGTGCACTAAGGTAGTTCCTTGATTCTGTTCCTAGTGTTTGGTGATTAACCAGCTTTTTTACACCCTGTCTACACTTTGCTTATGAAAGGATTCGTGAGATATGTCTGTGATACATTACTGGACCCTGCAAAAACACGTAGAAACCTTTGAAGCTCCCCTGAGCGCAATCACAAGTATGATGATAATGATCGGGTCAGTCGCACTGGTGATCCTAAAAAAAATGTTCATAGTCGCACGCAGTAGTTTTCAGTCGCAAATGCGACTGAAATGGTCGCACTGTCGAGCCCTGAACATGACCTTAAACATCATATTTTTGTGAGGTTTTGGCTTATTAAGTGTTATTAAAATAAATTTGCTTGCATTGTCATGCAGGAACAAAAAATAGACTGAGCTGTAAAGCTTTAAAATGAACAGTTCTCCATAAATGGCCATAAATTGTCTTTTGTTATATAAGCAAAAGAATGTCAGAGTAACACTTTTCCATACTAAGAAACCCCTTTTTTTTGTATGTTCATGTTGTGTATATTCAGTGTTAATTTAGAATTATATAGCTTAATTTTAAGTTCAGTTTGCCATTTTTATTAGTTTTTTTATATTTCTAAATAGTTGACATTTATTTCAGCATTAGCTTTTATTAGTAATTTCAATTTAGACTTGTTTCAGTTAGTTGACAAGGCAGCATTTCAAATTGTCACTATATGTGACCCTGGACCACAAAACCAGTCATAAGGGTCAATTTTTCGAAATTGAGATTTATACATAATCTGAACGCTGAATAAATAAGCTTTCCATTGATGTATGGTTTGTTATGATAGGACAATATTTGGCCGAGATACAACTATTTGAAAATCTGGAATCTGAGGGTGCAAAAAAATCTAAATATTGAGAAAATCACCTTTAAAGTTGTCCAAATGAAGTTCTTAGCAATGCATATTACTAATAAAAAATTAAGTTTTGATATATTTACAGTAGGAAATTTACAAAATATCTTCATGGAACATGATCTTTACTTAATGTCCTAATGATTTTTGGCATAAAAGAAAAATCAATAATTTTGACCCATACAATGTATTGTTGGCTATTGCTACAAATATACCCCAGCGACTTAAGGTTTTGTGGTCCAGGGTCACATATATGAAAAAATGTTCTATAATATTTAGATTTTTTTCTGAATGCCATGACCTATTTCTCTAAATTGTTATTCAGTAAATTCCATTTCAAATTCCTTGGTGGACAATTAATTTAAAATTTCAACCTCATGAACTGAAAGGGAGCCATTACTTAAATTCTTAATTTTGCCCAACCTTTTTTGGAATGACGTAAGGGTGAGTAAACAATGACTTTTTTGGGTCATCTATTCCTTTATTTACTATTGAAATGATTTTGCTCTTGCTCAGGTGCTGGTGTGGCACACCCGAACTGAGAAGCCAAAGATGAAGAGGGAAGACGCTTTGCAGAAGCAAGGGTTGGGTTCAGATCCGGATGTGGAGGTGTAAGCACCACCTCTTCAGAACATGCCTGAACTTCACCAAACATCCACACTTCCATTGTGCCAAACAGATTCTCTTATTTATGGCAAGAGGTGAATTTTAAAGTGTGATTTCTGAGCCACACACCAAAGACATGAGGAATGAGGAAAGGAAGTGATGAATGCAGGGATAAAAAAGTGCAAGAGACAGAAGCAAAGAAACCTGCAGCCTAAAAGAAAATGGATTCTTGCATCCCATAAACCATCCTTATCATTGGTACACTTGAACTGTATTTAAAGAGAATTTTACATATGGTATCAATAAATAAGATGAGCTTGTATTTATAGATTAGAAGTGTAATTGTATAGTGTGAGGCTTGCTTGGAATATATTTATAATGTGAACTCATTATGTCTATGCTGTCCATGTCTCTGTTACCTTCAGTCTAGGTGTACTTGTCTTATGTCTTCACATTAAGTCTTAAAGTCTATGATATTTTTTTTCTTCACTGATAAATGGAGGATATAAATAGGTCAGATATGGTGTCTATTTATGCCATTAACCATCTTTGTTGAATCACAATGGTGTGCTTATCTTTAATCCAGTTGCATGTTGGGTACGTGGCACTGGTAAAGCTTCAGGTGACAGTGTAAAGTACAGATGAGGTCACTTGATCCTGTGAAACAAAGGGTGAAAACATTTAGAATTACTAGGGTGTCGATGTAGAAATGTAGATAGTGCAAGAATGTAGCGGACAGTTCGGTTTTAGCACATTTTGTCAGATTCCATGTGAGTTGAATTGGCCACAACTCAGAGGAAGTTGAATAGAGTGCAAAAGTCCAATTCTGGAAGTTGAAAATTTTGATTTTTAACGATAATGTGTAAACTATTAAAGACAGATGAGGTTGTTACATGCTTTTGATGAAGCCATCAGCCTGCATTATTTCAACTTATTTTTAAATAATCATGTTCAACAGATTCCTGGTGAAAACTTCATTACCCACAATTCTGCAAAGAATCGCAGAATTGAATGTAAATATTGCCTACATAGTATAGAGTCAGTCTCCCTACATTCCCAAATTACTTAAACATTTGTGCATATATGTACATTTTGCAATAAATGTAAAATATATTGTTTCTTTATAACCTTTATAACATCCTCCTGTAGCTCAAACAGTAGAGCATGGTGCTAGCAATGTCACGGTTATGGATTCAATTCCCAGGGGAAGCAAGAACTGATTAAAATGTGAATGCAGTGTAAATTGCTTTGGATGAAAATGCCAAACGCATAGATGTAAATCTTTAGGTCAATAGTTCTATATATCTCCAGCTTTCCCTCATTAAAGCTGTCAAGTACTCAGTTTTGTACCTTTGTTTTTTGTATCAAATCATAGTTTGTAATGCTGTGATTCACTTTGTGGCTGATTGGTTTGGTTCATGGTTTATACATCTTTAACAAAAAAAAAATCCCTATGGGATATATACAGCTGAAAAAGTGGACAGGTATTGTTGCACTTGATTGGAATGACAGGAAGGTGATCAATCTATCCATAAAGCGTATAGAACTTCATATCTTTCAAAACTTTCAAACGAGGCTTTGCCAAGTCAACATTCAAAGTTTGTCTTTACCTTTAATTCTACTTTCTTAGATTTGAATTTAATTTTCTGCTTGCTATCACCACAGTTTAAATTCTGATTCTGGAATTGAATCAGAATTTAAAAAGCATTTTTAGTTTATTTCTGAATGACCATCATGTCAAGGCCACTTGAATTTTCAAACACCACCAGTGTCTCATGGCTCTCTCTTGCTGTAAATAAAAGCATTTGCCATTGCCAGATATTTTTCTCAGGTATTTTTGAATGGCATGTCTAATTCGGAGCCATCCTGAACAGACAAATCCTCACCTTTTTACGAGTTGCTGATCCCTCACTATGTATGAAGTTATAGAAACCACAAGGAATGAACAACCAGACAGTACTCCCTCCTTATAATGACTCAATAGTACTGCAGCATCCTGTGTCCTCACACCTGAAACAGCTGTTTTTGTATATCCTGGAGGGGCCGTCGCCACAGGGCAGTGACCTTAACTCTTCTTCAGACTTTTTTTTTTTTATCTGGAAGAAGTTGCATAAGGATAGACAATTCTTCAAACAACTACTGATGCATGAGAACACATGAGATCCAAAGACAGATTTTTAGACATCACTTCGACATACAATTACATGCATTTTCTTAAGTATTACCCTGTAGCAGACATTTAGAGGCCACACCTAATGTTTCCAGGTATTTATTGCAATCATTCTCTTTCCATCACTGTCACTTTTGTATTTTGAGATCCTTGTTTTACCCTCTTTATGTATTCCAACATTAGTTTGAGGGGGGGGAAACATGTAAATAACCAAGAGCATTTGGGAACATTGTGTTATGAGTATGTGTGTTGTGTACCGTGAGAGTTCAGTGGATTAGTATTCATTTTGGAAATGGAAATCCCTCACAGTGCATCATGTTCCCACCCAGTGAATAATCCCCAAAACGCATTTAAGAGTCCTGCTCAGGTGAGTCAGTTCTTCTGATAATAGTTCTTGGTAACACTTGTACTTACAACTTTACAACTTGCGCAGTAAAATTTTGAAACTGTTTGTGTATTTAGGTCTGAGTTGGCTGATACTTAGAGTTTTGTATTTTTTGTAGGCTGCTTCACTTCTTCAGTTAATTAAATGAAACAGAAACCGAGAGAGAGAGGGAGAGGGAGGTATTAGTGTGCTTGAGTGACGACAGGTTCAGACAGTGTGACGACTGTGTGTGTCAGAGTAAGGTGAGTTGGGCCCAGAACACAGAGAGCGAGTGAGAGCAGAGTCCCGCGAAAACAGCCAGAAGGTAAGTCACTAACCTCCAATGCTCTTGGTTTTGTTTTTGTCTTATATGTGTGTTTATTGTTATTAGTTTTTCTGTCATTCATATTTTTGCATTGTATGTTATTTTTCTTTAAGTGTATAAATATTTTTGAGCTTATTATGAAGCAACCTTGAGATTCTGAAATGATAGATAAATAAGACACTTTATTTGTATAGCAATATCGGTAAACATAACTTTTTTGTGTGTAAATTATCATTTACAATACCAAATTATACATACTACCATGGTTAACTCTGAACACTATAATTAGTCAATTCCTTTTCTTTTAAACAGCAAAACCTTTACTGAAACATTTTGAATTTTATATACGACACTTTCAAACCAGTACTGTGAACTACATCTTCAAATATAAGAAAACTACACCACTAATACTGACTTAACATTTCCAAAGTTTTGGGGTCTTCAGCACGGCATTTAAATTAAAATATGTTCTCATTATATCATGTATTAATATCTTTTAACTTTTAGTTCCTATACGTAAGTTATGGGCTTTACTAAAATGTTTATGTGATCAAATATTCATAATTTGCACTTAATTTCATGTTCCATTTCATTTGTAGTTCATCTATTTGTGAAATATTTGAAAAGCCCAGCTTGATGCACGTCCTAATATGAATAATATAAAAAATGTGCAATAATGACTGTGTAAATCTCTGCACAGTATGACATTATGAGTGATTTTGAGTCAGTCATCTGTCTTGGCACCAGCTGCAGTTCCAGCACGACCAACTGGAGTCAAAGTCAGTGGCAGGCTGGAGTTCATCTTATCAAAAAGTCATAAAGCAGAGAGTAGCCTGTCATTTTAGGAGACACGCTTTTCCTAAATAGGAACTTACTGATATGCTGTATACACACAGAATGAACTTTGAACAGTGTGCCTATGATGACGTGACTGATAAACACACATTAATGTGGGATGGAGGGGAGAGATAAACCTCAGGCCATGTTTAATTTCGACAGTAGCCCCAAGGAAGCCTGCATGCTGCTGCTCTTCTTCTTTTGTTTGATTGTGTAAGGAATGTCTTCTGCAAATTCTCTCATGACAAATATATGGCTGATCTTTTCCCAACATTTTTAACAGATGACCACCATCACACGTCAAAGTCACATGTTTCCTTCTTCCTTCCTTCCTCTTTAGATTGCAAAGACTGGATTAACATCTCCTCCTGAGTTCACAAGACCATGACTATCGGCAGGAGCTCCAGAAAGAACAAGGCCCCTCATTCTCCTCCTTTCCTGGACAAGGCTAATGGATTCTATGGGCGCTTGGATGAGATGTTTGGAGACAATGTACAGATGGAGAGAGAGACTATAGAAGAACAGATAGGAACCTTAAACCGGAGCACCCAAGACAATAATACAGCTCCAGGCTGGATAGAAGAAGATGACCATGTGGTTGATTTTAACCAGGGTATGATGGATGACGATGGGACCACTTTACTGAAGAGAAAGCCCAGCAGACTGAGTCGCCGCTGGAGCAGGATGAGCTCCAGGAAGGGAAAATATGACAAATTTCCCTCAGAAAAAGAACTTGGTAATGAGACCAACAAGCCCACCTCTGTAGATCTAAACCCAGAGGTGCCACCAGCAACCCAAACCCTGGAAAACAGCAAAGAACCAGAACCAACACTGATCCATTTCTCTGTGAGGGAGCATACTGATGACCAGACTCTGATATCAGGGAAGAAAGAAGGAGAACGGGAAATGGAAGACACAAGAAAAGAGAAGAAGACAGAAGGCAAACTGAATGGAGAGTCAATGGAAGTTGTAAAGAGCAACACTCTCAAGAATTATCGCAAGGTGAGATTTAGTCCTTAGGGCTGGTTGTTTAATTCATTTTGACATTTCTGTAAAGTTGCTTTGCAACGATTTGTATCGTAAAAAGCGCTATACAAATAAACTTGAATCTAATTGAATTTTTAAAAATTCCGGAACCGGAATCGAATGGCGTTCGGTTTCGTTGGCGGTTCTAACGTCCATTCCTCCGCCGAAATATCGTACTAAAATACCCTAAATGCAATACTTAGGCTACTCGGCGTTGCCGCAACGGTTCTTTTTGGTGAATAAAACCATGCCCGCAACCCGCGTAGTCAGAACGAATGAGTCTAATGAGTCGATTCCTTTTAGTGAATCAAACACAAACTGCTTACAACAGCGCAAGATTAGAGTAGTTATCGACTGGTTGTTCACATAACACCGTGTAGATAAAAATACAAATTAAGCATTTGCCAGTGGTATTTTATAAATAGACTATTAGAAAAACGAAATGCGTTCCCATATTTGTGCTATTGGTGTTTAATATGGCCATATTTAATACAAAATATTGGTTTGCATTTATGCATTTATTTAAACAGACAGTCTACAAACCATTTTCAAATTTTGCTTGATAATAATTTTATTGTGAATAAATCCGAACATAACTGTGATACCTTCAATGTCCCATGCATCATTCCAGTATCTAATTATAATATTTATCTCCTAAGGAGTTAATACTATTTGGAAGGTCACTTGAGTAGGCAGGGCTGGTTACCATCTATGGTTTGAAGGAGGAAGATATTTTAGAGAGGCATGTGGGGTAAAGTTCCTTTTTTTTGCATTGTGCTGTTATTTCTGCTAGGGTCCATCACCCCACAACTGTTTACATTTGCTGCAATATACCATGCTTGTCTCTCCTTTTCATCTCTCCACCCTACCTAAAGAGTAATAGTTATGTCCTTACTCCCACCCTCTTGTGTTATTAGTCCTTTTCTTGAACCATCTGTTTAATCACTATCAGTTTTCTGTTTGCATTTATATGGTCAGAGGACAGATGCAAGTGATACAGGGACAACAACTCTTTTCAGTTGCACACAAGGTGACCTTGATTAGAGGAATGTATGTGAATAACCAAACAACCCTGTCACTTCCATTTTGTCCTCTAGTTCAGCTAATAAGGGCACATTCTTTCTCTGTCAGAGCAATGACCCTGTAGAACTGAACAAACATCTTTCTAATTAACAGTGATGCATGTTCATATGTAAAGGGTGTTGTTTTCCGTGATAAACTGGCTTTATCATTTATTTTTGCTTTTCTACTTTTAGGCCGTGGACAGAGCTTTCCGTCGAGGATGGGAGACTTTTGTTGCCAATCTGTACAGTGTGACACTGACACCTATATCGTCAACCTCCTCTTCATCCACACCATCAGACAAAACGGAATTGAACAGGAATGGTGTTTTAGCAGAATTCAGATAACAGTAGAACAGACTTATTTGTATCTTCAAATTGATGAGTAATATCATTTATTTTTGCTTTTCTACTTTTAGGCCGTGGACAGAGCTTTCCGTCGAGGATGGGAGACTTTTGTTGCCAATCTGTACAGTGTGACACTGACACCTATATCGTCAACCTCCTCTTCATCCACACCATCAGACAAAATGGAATTGAACAGGAATGGTGTTTTAGCAGAATTCAGATAACAGTAGAACAGACTTATTTGTATTTTCAAATTGATGAGTAATTTCATTTATTAATTTAAATGTGCTCAAATATTTAATATGCATTGTTGTTCTTGCATAAAACTGATAACCATTGTTATTGTTTTAAACTGATCATTATGTAACCTGACATGAAAGGTCAATATTTGAACTTTTTATCAGTGTATAAATTTGTTATCACAGTGCTAACTAAAGAGGCGTCTACCTGATCTTTGTTCCCTTGTGAGGAAACACGAGGCTTATAATTATCCAACGTGGAAAGATCTTTTTTATTTGATGTGATAATGTTTTTGAGCTGTGAACAGTAGCAGAGTTCCTGTACTTTGGCGATGAACGTGTATTACAGGTTTTGTACCAAAGGGTTAACTCTTAAAAAAAAAACTGGGAGCTCATGGATTCTTTTTTTTTTTTATGTCATCAACAGTTAAAATCACTGGCAGTGAAGTATATAAATAACTGAGCTGAGAGATGAAATGAAGATGGCTTTTGTTTTCTTGGGACTTATTTATCTCTCTATTTTATTCTCTAACTTAGTTTGCTGAACCCAGTTTCCTAATGTTATGTAGGAGAATTTTTATTTGTAGCGTCTTTTTTTATCTGCATTGTGACATCAAAGCAGTGCTTATAATAAAAAGGAAAAGTGAGAAAAAAGTCAATCTGTTTGGCTTGATTATGTTCTACTGCACAAAATTGTTGTAGTGTTGTTTCCCATACGGCAAAAAATATTTTTTGTGACGACATACCAAAATATATAGATATATGCCAAATATAGCGAAGCTAAATGAAATACATGATTCCCAGGGAACACACATATTACTGGTAAAAAATGTATAGCCTGAATACACTGTAAGTCGCTTTGGATAAAAGTGTCAGCTAAATGCATAAATTATTAATAAATTATTAATAAAATTTTATATATATAACATATTTTATATAATATAGCAAAAGAGTCATGTTAAACATTGTGGTTGATATGGTTCATCATTCATCACACACTGGAATGGAAGGTCAAGTCAGACGCATTTCATTGTGGGATACTATATCCCATGCAGTGTGCTCTTATTAATACTGGACAGTTTGATAATTAGGGTGGGTCATCTAGGTAATCGATGCATACAGAAAATGAGCACATTATGCACAGTATACATACTACATAGATGTAGACTACTGTAAAGTGAGTAGCTTTGCTGTTTCAAATCTATTGTAGGCCTACCAGTACTCTTGTATCGGTGCTGATATGGTGCCATCTAGTGGAAAATGTGAAGCTTAAAAATGGACAGTTATGATTTTCATCTGCTTTTTATATTACAAATCAACAAGCAACAAAACGTTCTACAGCTGTATGTATGTGATACTGGTATACGTGTGTTATACGTTCAAATTGTGTTATACATTATTTTGCCTCTAAGTGTCTGCTCTCACTATGCTGCATTTATTAGTTTTGCTATAAAGGATGTCTATTATGTGCACTAGAATAACATGTTTTACATACTTTTTGTGCAGTTACAGTTTATTATTTTAATAATATTTAATAATATTTTAATTCATAGATCACAACGAATGTTGGCGCTTTTAATGTAATCCAGTAACATCATTGGTTGTTTGTAAAATGGGCGTGGATTTTACGTTACAAGAATAAAACGCGCCGAGACCTTCCCTTCGTCCATTTTGGAGCAGCTTCTTCTTTGGTAAGGCGTTTCGCTGTATCTATATTAACTGTAGTGTAGTTGTTCAGCTTTTTATTTCGCCTTTTTCTACAAAAGGTTCTTAAGTTATATATATATATATATATATATATCCCTCTTTTCTTTCTTAGTATGCATTTAAACGTTTATTTCACTCCGTAGTCCTTTAGTAGGTAGCTTCTGGGTGTTTCCATTCCGTTGGCCCACGAGCCTCTGATCTGTATCTAAAACCATCCTGGTTTAATTATTGCTATTGTTTGACATCTTCCTATTATTATCAAAGTTTACATGTTACTGTAGCGTAATTAAGACGTATTTGTTATTGGTTTGCATTAAGGCGTTGGCGAGATCTCAATGATGATAACTTTCACAGACCTGTACTGAAATACTGTGATTGCACTTTATTTATCTGAGGAGAGACTGGCGTGAAGAATTTTATTGTAAACCCTCCGTGTTCTGAAAGCTTCAAATGCAAACACGTGTCTCAACTGTACGGTTTTCTTTTGCAGCTGTGTCGACCACGATGAGCATGAATTGCATGGGCTCATGGGAAGGTAAGGATGCAATTTATAGTACTTTTCCTAAAGCATACATGGAAATCGATTGATGTTTATATATTTTGGCCAGTTTCGTATTTGAATGAATTTCACTTGAATGAAATATTAGGTTAAACACAGCTCCTTATGAGTGCACAATACTCTATCTGCATTATTGGATGCTTTTTACATGCTAGTTTGTGCCACTTATATGTGGACCTGATATGTTAGGGAACTCGGTTAACTAGAACCGTAATATCTGTGAAACTGCTTTTCCTGCTTGGTTCATCTTTATTACATGAGTTTAATGCATGGGTCCTTTTATAATAAAGAACTTGAGTTTAATTGATCCAGGATCTTACTCCTATGGTGTAGGCCTGAATTATGGTCTACCACACCCAAGAAGTAACTGCAGCATTTGTGTGCTGAATGTATGAATTGGCATCCAGTGCTACTGTGATGACTTCTGAATTCTCTCTTCCTGAATTGCTTTGATGTAACTGTTCTAAACTGAGTAGCATTGGACATCTAGCACACAGTGCCAAGCATTAATGTTAGTGCTTGTTTGTGAATGCTGACACTTATTAAAGCGTTTGTTTTGCAGTTTCCGTGCCATCTTGCTGGGATGAGTAGACTGAGATCGGTTAAATTCAAGGTAAGCTCTTCAAGTGTTGAGGGTCCTCTTTTTAAGATTGAACATTTAAATGATGATTTCAAAAGACAAGCATATGTCTGAATTCCAGTGATGTTTGCCATTTTTTTTCTGACATGAGGCAGATGACTGGAGTCCAGTTACCTCCCTATTGCAGTAACTAATTGTTCCGTTTTATTTTAAGGCGTCCTTCACATGAACTTTGAGAGCATGATGACCATGGGTTGTGTTTGTAAGTAGTTTTTTTCGAATTCAAAGTTAGTTTAGGTTTCAAATCTGTATTGTCTGAAGTGATTTAAGTATTTATATCTTAACTGGACGACAGATTTGTCATATGGCATTCTAGTCACCAAAGTATGATCAGACCGTATGACCATACATTGCTGGTTTTTGAACTGTTGGCTACTTTCCGTGTTTACAATGCCTGTTATTTTTCTAGGTAAACCCCCCCCTTTTTTTTTTTGTCGTGGTGGTCATGGAGCACCATAATGTTCAGGTGAGGTGTGTGTGTTTTTTATTTTTGTGGTGGTTGAATGAATGGTTTATACTGTTAATATCTAGACTGTCTTATTGCCCCATGGTGTTACAGTCCCCAAAACCCTGATCAGATGGTGATAAACCTGGTTTTGTTTCTCTATAGTTTTAATTGGGGCTGGACGATATGGCCCAAATTTAGATCACGATATATTTTGATATATAATTCCGATATCGAAATGAACACTATTTATCTGAAATGGAAATCTTTTGTAACATTATAAATGCCTTTTATGATAACTTTTGATTAAATTAAGCGTCTTTCCCAAATAAAAGTAATTTCTGTAATTTCTTTCCCCCAAAAAATAAAAAAAATTATATCGACTCCAAGCTTTTGAATAGAATAGTGTTACAAAAACTTTATTTCAGATAAATGCTGATATTTTGGATTTTTCTATTCATCAAAATCCTGAAAAAAAAAAAAAGTACTCTACTGTTTTTAAAACCTATTCAGATAGAAAGCAGTTATTTTAAATGGTGAAAATATTTCTGTTTTTGCTGTACTTTGGATCAAATAAATGCAGCCTTGGTGAGCAGAAGAGAAATCTAAAAAAAAAAGTAACAATCTTGCTGTTCAAGAACTTTTCACTAGTAGTGTAGGCTGAATATAGGTTGAAACAAATGTGCTTCAGCCAGAAAAAAGGGTATGAAAAGCGATCCTCTCTGCCAGCAGGAGGCGCTTTTAGAGTGATAAAACTAGCGGTTTCCCAGGCAATGGCTGTAATCAAAGCAGCTCCAATCATGAGCTACTTCATCAGATGAAAATGTCATCGAAACTTTTCTGAAGACAGTCGGTTCCCTTCAGAGATACATTCATATAAAACACCCGTGCCGCGTTTTGATTGAAACGTGCAGTGCTCATGTTTATTCAAAGAAGTCAAACGCCACTAATAAATCAATGTATGGGAAACACTGGTAATGTATATCGAAATATCGGAAATGTGTTTAAAAATCATATCACCGTTACTGAAAAAAATTATATCGCGATACATATTGATATTGAATTATTGTCCAGCCCTAGCTCATAAACACTGCATTATAAAATAGTAAAATGCTATTTAATACCATTTTAAATGGAGTATTATATCACACCACAGGGCGGGTCAAGTACTGTATTTTGTATCAGCTATTCACTTACACAATAATTTATTGTTATTTTACTTCTGCATTTATTCTTCGATGTATTTATTTTTTCTGCAAATATTGATTTATTTCTATATTTATGTATTTATGTATTTTTCCCCAACATACAGTAACATCTATCCTGTATTTTCTTTGTCTCACCCGTTTGTCGAGGGTGCTGCTCCGCTCTTTCTCCTCACTGATGAAGATCATACTGCCACGACCGGGTTTCTTCTTCTTCTTGGATTTCCTCAGTTTCACCTGGAAGAACAGAAAGAGTCACCTGAGCATGACTATGTCATCATGGAGAGCTGCAATCAATGGTCCATTTTTGTGATTGGACGAAAAATGTCACAGCAATATCTTCATCATCCTCACCTCCACTTCAACACCACTCTCATCCATCACACTGACACTTCCACTGGAACGAGGGATGATGGACGGAGAGGGAGGAACGCCACTGTCCAGAGATATGCTACAGACAGACACAGAGACACGGGTTATGTTTGGAATAGAGTACACACTGTATACTACCTACTACTTTTTAAAAATATTATGTGAAACAGAATACATTATGCAATGATAAGATGCTACAGTATACAGATAACAGTATTTTGCTACATTGTCGTCACATGACCTTGCCACACTGAATATTTAATTTAGCATCATCTCAGAAATAAAACAAATATCAATAAAATAATAAAACAATGTATTAATAATAAATAATAATACAATTATTGAAATATAAAAATGAAAACAAATAATAAAAACAAGCC